TGTACAAAGTCTCATAGATGGCACATACATATATGTGTGTATGTATGTATATTTATGTATATACATGTATATGTGTGTGTGTGTGTGTATATATATATATATATGGAGAGAGAGAGCATGTACAAAGTCTCAGATAGGTCCATAAGGGGATGGTTTGAGGCCAGCCATTGTGATATATATGTACATGTACATATATGTATATATGTGTGTATTTATGTATATGTGTGTATATATACACACGAACCCAGAAGTACTCCTGGGTCATGAGTGTATTTACCTTGACTGTATTTCCTCCTATTGCTTTTGTTCCTAAATACTTGCTAAGGAAAGGATTTTTAGCACCTCGGAAAGCACTGGTTTGGGGATGGGTGGAGGGGTGTACATCAACTGTATTACCCTGTTAGTGTTGCCCGACTTAGCAAACAGAAGCACAGGACACATGGTCAAATTTCAGTTTCTGATATCTCATGTGGCATATACTAAAAGAGAGTTGAGTTGTTTTTTTCATCAGAAATTCAAATTTAACCAGGTGTTCTATATTTTATTTGGCAACCCTATACCATCTGAACTCCTAAATTCAAGGTTTTGTGACTGTTCTCAGATTACAGAATAGAATCATAGAATCACTCTTACATGTCAGAATTGGGGAAACTCTTTACAAAAGAGAAAGGGAAAAAGGCAAGGGGGAAAAACGGGGGAAACTCCATAAATGTTTAGCTAGAAGCAATGAAATATATTTTAAAAGTCTGTACAACAAAATTACAATACACATTTATTAAGCTGCAATTTTCACAATATTTTAATTCTGTTCTGAGATCTACAAATATCTCTACATAACACCAAAGCCAGTGATTTAATAAATAAGAGGAATGTATATATCACTTTGCAAAAAAAGAAAAGCCTGATACATTTATGTCTAATAAGATATTTGTAGAATCAGCTGCCTAAGGCTCATGGAACTAAAGTGCTCACGCACACGCACACACACCATTATATTCAAATCATATGAATTTATATTGAGTCAAATTAAATGCTATATAAAATTTATAACCAGATACACAAAGTATGAGTGGGATCATGAATACACTGTAGAGAGTGGGTACCATACCTCACAAATATGATTTCCAGTTAAGAAGAGGGAAATAATTGCTTTGCTGGATTTTAAGTGTGCGCTAATAATCACCATCACCATCACAAGAAATCAAGTGAATTACACGGTATTCAGAGACTTAACACACATGCGGATTATTAAGTTGACACTACAATAAAACCTTTAAATCTGCCAAAAGACATTAGGACATATGGTCAATAATACCATGAGCTGCCACAAGGTTTTCAGCAGAGGATGCAAATGACAATCAACTGTTTATGCCACCACAAGAGAAAAACTGGTACCGCTGCATCTCTTACATATCAAGGAGGAGCCAAACACAGAATTCGATATGCTGAATAAAGTTTGTTTATACCTGATACTGTACATCATATTGATGGCTATCCAATACAAATTTTAAGGGTACTGCATTAGATCCTACAAAATATATATAATTCTGTTAAGCACAAGTGAGGAGAAGTCCAACTATTCAAATGACCTTAAACAAAAGCTTTGCAGAAAGTTAAACATTGTTTAAAAAAATGTTGGGAGTGAGGCAGCTGACACCTTAGGAGTCTTAGGAATTCCTTCTAATGCCAACTGATGGCAAGAACAGGCTTTTGGATTAAGTCAGCAACAGGGAGACGTTACCAGATGTCAACCAGTAAGGCAGATGTCATTTATCAAAAGCATTGTGAGGGGCGGCGCCTGTGGCTCAAAGGAGTAGGGCGCCGGCCCTGTATACCGGAGGTGGTGGGTTCAAACCCAGCCCCGGCCAAAAACTGCAAAAAAAAAAAAAAACATTGTGAGGAATAGTGGGGATTGCAGAAATGAGGTGATTCAGGATTCCCACTAGTGATAAGTTGTACTAACAATGCCTTTGGGTTTGGTATTGGCCGTCTGACACCTGTTATTCTTAACCATTGCATATGCTGAATCCCAGGGCCAGACACGCAAGCTAAGCTGTTTACATCTTCTTTGCAGAGCAGCCCTTTTAGACATGTGAAAATTATGTTATAATCTTCCCAACTACTGAGCCAACCTTGCATGTTTGTACTTAGGACCCAAAGGAGGCAGCCCACTCAGCTATTTCCCACTGCCGCTGTCCTACAGACATAGTCCCAGTTAGTTCTCTGACCTCTCTGCTTCCCCACCCCTGGGTGAGACAGGCTGTGGCCTGCTGTGCTTGGTTCCAGGGCAACTGTATTAAACATCTTTTGGTTGTATTCACCTCTTCTTTACAAATGAAGACCCAGGCACAAAGGTTAGCTTTCAAGGAATTCTGTTGCTGTGCTTTGTTACCAGAAATGACATGGCGGCTAAAACCTGAAGAAAAGAAACCCCAAAGCAGGTAACACTGACTGGTATCAGAAAGTCTACTTAGGGAAGGCTTCTGCTCCATGAAAGCAACTTTGCTGGAGCGTCAAACATGGCCCACACAAACCCAGCATTCGGAGATGGATGATCTTTTTCCTTTTCTAGATTATTTTCTGTTCCCAGTAAAGTAAGTATTTACGGTCATACTGAAGCACTGGGAAATTAACACTGACAAACTTTACGATATTAAAAAAATGAAGTCTTAATCTTCACAGATCCACAGTTTGCCTCTCTATGTTTTTATATCACACTCAGTGAAGTGTTGCACTAATATACTCTACAGCCCTGAAGATATAAAAAAGTTTTCTCTTCAAGGTATGAGATAGGGTACAAAAATACATTTTTCCACATACAAAAGAGAAAAAAGAAAGATGTGGGGGTCAGGGGGAGGCTCAATACCGTACAGGCTTCCATGGAATGGAGAAAGAAAAGTCTCCAACTACGTGGAGTTTAAGAATATGCCCATGGAAGTGAAATTTATGCATTAAAAAGCAAGACTTTTTCAAAACTAGCATCTAGGATTTCTACTGGAATTTCAAATAATGTTCTACCCTGAAGTGACACTCAGTAACTAACTGTAGGTTCTTTTGCGAAAAATGAAGACCTCGTTCACTTGAGGGTTATCACACTATAAAATTGGCTTCAGGCCTACACTTAACCAAACTGTAAAAAAAAAATGGTCCATGTTTTTACAGCATTTTCAATTGATGCTTGAGGTCCACATCCATCAGCACCCAGATGACACATACCTCCCTCAGTTTACTAGACGTTAAAATGATTATCCTTCCAGATCTCAATAGAGCATGATGCCCTTCGTGTGTCACGTATGTGACAGTTAAGACAACACTCAGGCATCCTGAGTGTTTACAATGACTGCAAACGACTAGAGAGTCCAGGCAAGGACTGCGATCACTGGCTTTGTGCACAGAACACCAGTCTCCCCCTGGCCAACAAAAGCAAAGCTATGTTTTCGTACCTGAACATGGTATAGCCAAATGCACAAAGGAAAGAGGCCAAATGGTGACCTCCCCAAGTTATTTATACCCTGTGCTAACATAGATGCATCTGTAGATATGAAATGACAAAACTGGAAAGGTTTCAATCCGGGAATCATATGTTTCCAATGCCCTTGATAAAGACCTATTCAGGTAAATCCCAGAGAACAGGCATGTTTCAGGAAGTGAGGAAAGTTTAGGTCCCAGGATGTGCGCCTTAAGAATAGAAGTTTCACATCCACAGAACCATCTGTACCTGTTTCCCAGACACTTGCAGCCAAAAATAAAACTTCGCAGAAATTCTGCACAAGACTTGGTAGACAGCTAAGTCTTCCTGAAACTGAGACCTGGACCCTAACATCTTGGTTCTAGCAAATCTGACAGGGGTCTCTAGAGACACCTCCATCCCCAGGGGTCTTTAAAGCCACATCCTGCAATCACTGGTCTTCCTTTCTTAATGGGTCCTGGCAAAGGGGCATTTCCACTAGCCCAGACCAGAGCCTTCTGAAGCTCCTGGTCCCAGGGTCCCCACAGCTGTCCACCCTCGTGTACTACCTAAAATGAGGATGCAACAAATTTTAGACAAAAAGCACCTAACACAGGTGTTGTAAAAACTTCAGGGAAAACAATTTAGATCTGTCCCAAGGCTTGTGTATTTCTGCTTATTATTCCTGAGAATGGATTATAAGCAGCAAGAGACTTGAAAATGTTACTAGCTACTGTTTTCCTTCCAAGGTTCTGAGTTCACCAGAAATAAAATGAAACAAAGAAAAAAAAATTCCCAAGGATGTAGCTTTTTTATACAGGCCCACCTGGCAAACAGCAAAACTGGGACATGAAATAGATTCTTGAGTGATCGTCAATGCTTACTCAGGTAGACGTTTCTTTGCCTTTCCTTGCATTTTCCTTTTCAAAATGTTAACATCAAAATATATCAAAGTACAGAGGGAGAAAAAAAATCTCCCTCTGTATTCTAGAAATAATGACTTCTTCATTTAGAAATATAGCTGATAGAGGGGCTGGCAGGGGTCACTAAGATACAAGGGACTGAACTTCATCTATAGCCCAACTGTCCACATTAAGAAGGGATAACATTCCCTAAGTCAACATCAACCAAAAAATAACATATAATAAAGCTCACAGTTTTGGAACTTGACAATAACTGCACACAGACCTCATCCACCAATTCATAAGCTGCAAAAACCAATGCTTGCATTTAAACTTTTCAAAAATGTCAAATTAGCATATTCTTCCCCGAAATGTTAAAGTTTTAATAAACTTGACTCGATCTGCCTTTAGTAAAAAACCTTACAAAAGATGTATTTAAATGCTTGAAAAAATTAACTTTATGCTCTATGCACAGATAAATTTCTCTTCCTGTACAGCTAAATATGGTTATATCCTTTGTTTAAAAAATATTTTTTCCCCACTAATGACACTCGGCGTATAGTTCTACATCAATGACTTTTTCATTCTTCTTGGGACATTGGTCCTAAGGGCTGCCGGACGGTTTTGGAAACACCCTCACAAAGAGTCACTTTCTTGCTCAGTAATGTTTATTAAGATTGTTTGGGATTTGGTGGTTTTGCTTTTGCTTTTTTGTTTGTTTGTTTTCTCTTCTTCTGTTGTCTTCCGGGAGAGCACACTGGTAAAGGTGGGCCCTGCCGGTTGGCTAACCGTCACTTGTCTTTGGAGCGGTCCAGGCTCTCTAGCACCCTGTTGAGACGGATGTTGAGCAGTCTAACCTGGTTTTCCAGGTGTTCCAGCTTCTCCTCCACATTAGGGTTGCTGGGGTTGCTGCGCCAGTAGAAGCCCATGGGCCCGGTCATGAAGTAGACGGCCACCACGAAGCATAGGGGCAGCACAGCGTTCTCGGGCTCCCCCTCGTACTTGTGCAGGATGTACACGCAGGACATGGAAAACAGGACGACCCGCACAATCCAGAAGAAGCGGCCAAACACCAAGTGTAGGATGCTAAAGGTGAAGCCTAGAGTCAGCGACAAGAACCAGTAAGCCAGCAGGACAACGCCGACCAACAGGAGGGCACGGGCCGGGCTGTTGGCTACTGAGGCTGGGCTGAAATACTGTGACAGGTTGGAGACTGCAGAACAGAAAAGAAGAACAGGGCTGGTTACACAGAGTTGGGTAGCTAAGCTCACCCGCTGGGCTCACAGGGCCTTTGTAACAACTCAAGGAACCGAAGTAAGTTATTCCCTTTATATGCACAACAAGCCCTGTGAGAAGACACAGGGCACCCCTTGAGAAACCTGCCATATGGAGAGTTTAAAACACCTCTCATAGCTGGGTGCAGGGGCTGTACCTATAATCCTAGCATCCTGTACCTATAATCCTAGCACTCTGCAAGGCCAAGTCAGGAGGATCCCTTGAGCTCAGGAGTTTGAGACCAGCCTGAGCAAGACCCCATCTCTACTAAAAAAATATAATAATTAGCCAGGTGTTATGGCAGGCACCTATAGTCTCAGCTACTCAGGGGGCTAAGGAAGGAGGATCACATGAACCCAGGAGTTTGAGGTTGCTACGAGCTAGGCTGATGCCACTGCACTCTACCTAGGCAACAGAGTGAGATTCTGTCTCACAAAAAAAAAAAAAAAGAAAGAAAGAAAAATTAAGAAACTAAAAATAAAACATAGTAGAGCAGAACCTACATGATATTGTTTAATAAATGCAATTTGCATAGTAATAAATGCACCATTTCAGGCTGCACACACAACTACCTGGGAAGGCATTTCTCAGCCTCCCCTGCAGCTACAAAACTAAGCTTTGACTAAGAAGAGATAATCTGCACTAACTTCATAGGGACTTATCCCTAAAAGCAGTGGGAACGTGCCCTTTAACTCTTCTTCAGCCTGCTGGAATGCAGATGCAATGGCTGAAGCTGGAGCAGCCATAATGAGCCATGAGGACAAAACAGAAGGTGCTTCAGCCCAGAATGCAACAGGCCTTAGAGCCATCATACGTGCTTAGGAACTTCCCTGTGAATTTTTACATTAAATGGAAATAAGCACCCATCTTGTTTAAGCCATTGTTATTTTGGATCCCTGTTACAGCCAAACCTAATCCTAAGCAGTACACACATGGTGTTCTCTCTAAAGAAGGGAGTGAAATGGAGGGTGGCATCTTTTGTGTTTCCAACTTAAAAGAAATTCAAATAGAAAAGTTGAAAGAACAGTAAATATTCCCATCAAAACCACCTAGGTTTAACAATGATTAAATATGCCATACTTTGCTTTATCTCTTATTTACATAGTTTATCCTTTTTTGGTTTAAATCATTGAAAGACTCATATATCATATTTCATCATACATCTTTTAAGAATAAGGACATTAGTGCACCTCAAAATCATGTTACTATCTATCATCACATCTAGGAATGTCAATAATTCCATAATATCATTCTCATCTCCCAGACATCCAAGAATACTGCTGTTCCCTCCCCACCTCAACCAGGATCCAGTGAGGTTCATGAACTGTAGGTGCCACGGCCCTAGTCTCCTTTAATCATGACACTGACATTCTGAAGTCTAGTTTTCCCAGACTAGTTTTCCTACAGAAGGTCCTACCTTCTGAAACTGTTCCTTCATGATACTGTCAAATAAATTCAAGGAGAGTTCTATACTAAGTGCATTTAACACAAGCAGTTCTCAGACTGGAGTGTGCATTCAAATCTTCTAGAGAACTTGGAAAACCAAGCCACACCCTTAGGACATCTGATTCAGCAGGACCATCTCTTACACACTGGTGGGTGATGCTGCTTTGAGGGTCGTGCTCTGAGGTCCACTGGCTTAGACACAACTAACTCCATGCCTCAGGGGAAATAAAGAAGAGTAGGGTGAAGGATACACATGTAATACAATGACTTGAACCCAGACCAAACCCGAGACAGGAAGACACAAGCCTGGGACTCCAGACATGTCCACAGCACGAGCATTTCAGAGCCCAACAGTAATCACATTGTCCTGACAGCTGGCCACAGTGTTGGAGGCCTGACCTCACAAATGGAGGTCTTCTTTAGGACTGAAGGTACGGGGTCACCAGGACTCCCCAGCCAGGGTGCCGTGTGTGCCTTCCTTCCTAAGTATCTTTTTTTTTTTCTTTTTGAGATAGCGTTTCACTCTGTCACCCTGGGTAGAGTACCATGATATTATAGCTCACAGCAACCTCAAAGTCTTGGTCTCAAGAGATCCTCTTGTCTCAGTTTTTCATTTTTAGTAGAGACAGGGTCTCAGTCTTGCTCAGGCTGGTCACACAGTCATTCATGAACTTAAGCAACTCACCTGCCTCAGCCTCTCAGAGTACTACATACAGGATTACAGGCATGAGCCACCATGCCTGGCCTCTAAGCATCTTGACTACATGTGATCTTGACTTTGGAGTTGATGTTCATGCCTAACCCAGGCCAACAGGAAACTAAACCAGTGTTTCCCAAACCTTTTGATCTTAGGATCCTGCTTACATTCTTAAATAGTACTGAAGACCTCCAAGGGCTTTTGTTTATGTGAGTTCTACCTATTCTACTGTAGTAGAAACTAATTTTTAATTAGTTAATAATTTTTAAACATTGTTTTTATTCATTTTCAAATAACAGTGAACCCATTATGGGTACTATGGTTTGAATGTCCCCCCAAACCTCACTTATATGTTGAAATTCTCACCCCTAAAATGATGATCTTAGGAGATGGAGCCTTTGGGAGATGATTCGTTCATGAGGGTGGGACCCCTCCCCCTAGGAATAGGATTAATACTCTTATAAAAGAGGCCCCAGAAAGCTGCCTCATCCCTTTCACCATGTGTCCTTCACCTACAAGGAAAGGACCCTCAGACACCAAATCTGCCGGTGCCTTGATCTTAGACTTCATAGCCGAAAGCCTGAGATCAGCATGTCTGTGGGGTTGGCTCTTTTTGAGGGTGGGAAAGGGGGACTCAGTCCCAGGCCTCCCCTTAGCTTTTGGTGGCTGTTGGCAATCCCTGGTGTCCCCTGGCTTATAAAGACATCACTCTGAACTCTGCCTGTCTTCACATGGCCTTCTCTGCATGTGAGTGTCCAAATTTCCCCTTTTTGTAAGCGCTCCAATCATATTGGGTTTGAGACCCACTTTACTCCAGCATGACCTCCTCATAATGAATCAAATCTCTAATGACCCTGTCTCCAAATAAGGTTACATTCTGAGGTACTTGAGGTTGGGACCTCACCACATGAATGTTGGAGAGACACAGTTCAACTCCTATGTTTTGGCAGCAGCCCTATTTCTCAGCTTGGGCCAGATTTAGGTCACTGCAGACCTACAAAGTCCTCACAGGTGCAGTAGGGGAAGCCAGCTCTGGGTGCAGACAGATACACGGCCCTCAGAATGGAGGATGGAGATCAGGCAGGTCCCAGAATTACAGGATGATGTACATTTTGGAGCAAGGCCGCTTCATAAGCCACCAAGTATTTATTGAGTATTGACCGTGGGGCAGGTGCCATCTGAGCCTTCTGTACACATTATCACCCACTCCCCATGCTGATGAGGCAGACGCTGTTTCCCACACAAGGACACCTTGTCCAGGATCCCACTGCTAGGACAAGGCAGAGCTGAGGTTTGCATCCAGGGGGTCTGGTTTCCAGAACCACACAATCCCTGCCCTGCACAGATGCATCACTGCAGCAAAATTATTTTCCCCATTTTGTTCTAAGTGGCCTTGGTGGCTTCGGAGGAAGTGAGCACCTTGATGAAGATGTGAGACTTAAATCCATCCTCCTAACTCTTGGACAAGTGCTCTACTTCCCAGAAGAGTCTTTTGTGCCAGCAGAAACAGAAGAGGGACTAAGGCTGTGCTGCCCAATCATGTACTGAGCACTCGACATGTGACAATTCTGAATCGAATGTGCTCTAAGTGTGGATGTCAAAGTCCTAGTGCCCCCCAAAATGTAAGACACTTCAATAATAATTTTATAGGCTAGGCATGGTGGTTCATACCTGTACTGAGGTGGGAGGATCTCTTGAGCTCAGGAGTTTGAGACCATCCTGAGCAAAGTAAGATCCTGTCTCTACTAAAAATAGAAAAAATCAGCCAGTTGGTGTAGTGGGCACCTGTAGTCACAGATCCTTGGGAGGCTGAGGCAGCAGGATCACTTGAGCACAGAAGTGTGAGGTTCCTGTGAGCTAAGCCAACACACTGGACTCTAGCCTGGGGCAACAGAGTGAAACTGTCTCAAAAAATATATAATTTTTATATCGACTATAAGTTGAGATAATAATACTTTGAATACATTAGGTTAACTCCAAAACATCTTATTAAATTTAATTTCAAAAAAATTCAGTTTTTTACTCTTATAATGTGGCTCCTGGAAAATTTAATATTACCTACGCATTTCTATTTCTACTGGATTGCTCTGAGCTAAGAAGTCTCCATTTTAAGCAGCACCCTAAAAAATTCTGAAGAAGGAAATCCTTCTGAAGAAGGATATTCTGGTATTCAATTTCTGGTAAAGCATTTTAAACACTCAAACTTCTTTTTTTTGTTGTTTTTTTGAGACAGAGTTTCACTTTGTCACCCTTGGTAGAGTGCCATGGTGTCATAGCTCACAGCAACCTCAAACTCTTAGGCTCAAGTGATCCCCTTGCTTCAGTTTTTCATTTTTAGTAGAGACGGGGTCTCACTATTGCTTAGGCTGGTCTCAAACTCATGAGTCAAATCCACCTGCCTCAGCCTCCCAGAGTGCTAGGATTACAGGTGTGTGCCACTGTGCCCGGCCGCACACTCAAACTTCTAAGCATAGGACATAAATTCCAAAGACCTTCGGATGCTTTGACGCTCACGCATCAAATAAAACCCCAACATGGAAGTGAGTCTGTTTCACCTCCAGAAGGTGTCAGCTACCCCCATCAAAATGCAAGCATTTCCAGCTGGCAGCAGAAGGCCTCGCTTCCCATCTTCTCCCACGTGATCAGGTGGCTGTTCCTACTCCTCAGTTACCCATTCCAAGTCACATGCAATTTCCTGCAATCAGGTTTGTTTCTCCAGGTTCACTGGCAGGGATGGGAAAGCCCGGAGTTTAACAATCTGCACAGGGGGTAGGTGTGGATGTTTGCAAGATTGCACACCATTGCCTTATCTGAGTGATGCTTGACTCAGCCAGTCCCAGGAGAGGCTGTCAGTGGCCCTGGGGGACTGTGGGCTCCCTGACATCCTCTCAGATGGTTGTGCTGTTGCCTCAATTCTCTGCCTGAACACTACAGAGCCCTGAGTGGGTCTAAGGCCTCTCAGAGGTTGAACTCAGTGAACCAGGGCTAGAGATGGCTCCAAGGGGCTTGGGGAGACCACAACAGGCACAAACCAGCATGTCCCACAAAGGCCAGCAGTTCAACTTCAAGCCCCCATCTCCTATCTGCAAACTGGGGTATCAAGGACCAGCAGGAGATTCTGAGATTCCTCATGTAACAGCGTTATTATCTGTGTCCCATGGCTGCCAGAACAAACCACCACAAACTCAGCAGCTGGAATCAAGGTGTCAGCAGGGCCTTGTTCCCTCTGAGATTCTAGGCAGGACCCCTCCTGCCTCTTCCAGCTTCTGGTGGCTGAGTCATTCCAATCTCTGTCTCTGTCTTTTTTTTGAGACAGAGCCTCAAGCTGTCACCCTGGGTAGAGTGCTGTGGCATCACAGCTTACAGCAACCTCCAACTCCTGGGCTTAAGCAATTCTCTTGCCTCAGCCTCCCAAGTAGCTGGGACTACAGGCGTCTGCCACAAGGCCCGGCCTGGTTACAGTTGTCATTGTTGTTTGGCAGGCCCAGGCTGGATTCAAACCTGCCAACTCTGGTGTATGTGCCGGTGCCTTAGCCGCTTAAGTTACAGGCGCCAAACCTCGGTCTCTGTCTTAATGCAGCCATGTTCTCCCTTCATGTTTCTCTGTCCAAATTTCCCACTTTTACAAGGACATCAGTTGCTAGATTTACAGTGCACCTGACGCAAGATGGTGTCATTTAACTTCCCCACACCTACACAGACCTTATTCCCAAATCAGGGCTTATATGCAGGTCCTGGGGTCAGGATTTGAATTCATCTTTTTGGGGGGCCCAATTCAACCCCCATGATGAAAGACTAAGCAGTAAAACCCATAGCCCCCACTTTCAGTAACAAAGGGCCTCTCTTTGTGCCAGGAGTAGAGACCAGCCGAGGCTGTTTACACAAAATGGTTCATGACGAACACCTGCTCTTCTGCTGGGCATCTAGAACTGTGACACGTTATCGGGGAAGGGTGTGTATGTGGCCAGCCCCCTCCCCCCACATAACAACCCTGTGCCCTGAATCTCTAAAGCCTTCCCTGGTATACACGTTTCACGTGGGTTATCACCCAACTCATTGCTGGAAGAACAAAGAGCATCTTGAGCAACTCCCCGGAAAGAGGACTCCAGAAGCTTAAGTCTGGTCTCCCCTGGACTTTGCCCCATGAGCATTTCCCTTTGCTGATGCTGCTCTGTGTTCTTTCACTGTCATAAATCTCAGCTGTCAGCAGGGCCCCATGCTGAGTCCTGCAAATCTTCCTAGTAAATCAGCGAACACGGAGGTGGTCTTGGGGACTGCGACACCAGAGGGTACTGAAGACTTCCTGGTTAAGAAGGCTGCAGCCTGGCCTAAGAGACTGCCCAGCTTGGGACCTACTCTGGACAGGCCCCAGGTGGAGACAGTGCCCTAGACCCTGAGGATGGAAGGAGAGCAGCAGGCCAGGGGCTTCTGGGAGACTCCTGCTTACCTGGTACACCTCAGGGCATGGTTTCATTCTGGCAACGAGAGAAACCACTAAAGAATTGAAAGCTATAAGGGACAAAATCATCTCCAGACATAAAAGGTGGCACAATGTAGGCACTCTGCCCAGCTTAGATCCCATCACACCCAGATAGGACAATGACGCCTGCATCACTGCAGACAGATAGGAGAAGGGCAGAGCCACCCTGGGAGGAGAGTACTGGGGGCGGGGGTGAGGGTGGGGGCGGTGCCGCAGGCTGTAGGCCTGGACCAGGGCGCTCCACTCAGTTCCCAGGGCCACTGCTCCCTCAAGGCTCAGTCTCACTGCCTTTGCCTCGACATCTGCAGAAACCAATATGACGCTCTTCTCAGAGGTGTGAAAGGGCAGGATTGTGCCCCACCAGTACTCTCTTCCTTGCTAGAAATGTGTAACCTGGACTGCACCGTCAACTTGCACTACATTTCTCCCCCCAGCCAACAAAACCTAGGGGCCTGGCAATTCTCACCACTGCAGTGGGCAGGGCAGGCCAGCAGCTCACGCAGTACCCACTGCCACCCCTTCTAGCCCGGCTTCTGGGACTACATGACCCCAACACCCTTCTAGCTGAAGACTGGATCGAAACTAGGCTCTGCCCTGTAGTTGTTCCCCTGACCCAGGAACTTTGAAAAGTGAGGGAAATGGAGCTACTGACTAACCCAGTTAGCAGCATGCAAAACCTAGTCTCTGAGGCAGTGGCAGTAGCTTCTCAACTAATTGCTATAGCTTTGGTGACCTTGAACTCAACAGTTCCAACAGCAGCAAACCTGGCAGGCCATTTCGGCAGTGTCTGGGGCCACATATCACTCCTTTAGCGTGTTTCTGATGGATGTGTGATTTCGTTCTTTGTGAAATCCCCTTCTGCCTATAGAACTACAGTAACCTGTTTCACAGATTCCCACAAACCAGAGCAGTAACCTCTGGCCCATGAGGTTTGCCGAGGGACAGACAAGTTGGCACTGTTCACTTGTTCCATACCCTAAATAGCCTCTGGTTAGAAGATAAGGGGATTTAAAATAAATGAATAAATAAAGACAAGATAGATAGCATCTGAAAAATCCCTACTTTGACAGGCCACTTATATATGCAACTATTAAAATAAAATAATGTTCATGCATATATAAACTCACTGCCCTGCCCCCAACACCTTCTTATATACCACCGACCGTGAGTTCCACACTTTGAGAGCTAATGGAATAAAAGGGTACCTTACATGAATGCCAGCCATCCCCATACCTACCATCAAGTCCAAGAACATCCAAGAGCTCTGTCCAAACTTTCCACAATGTCTCCATGAACATGTCCACTCCCAGTACGAACCTCTCAGTCAGCCTGGTCAAGAACTGCAGAAATAAGAAAATGATCATTATGGAATTGCGCAGCACTCCACTGTTATCCTCAACTAGTCCAGCAGCCAACCATAAGTTTGAAAGTTTATACCTGTACAGGGAAACAGATCAAGCTAACAATGAATGTCCCAAGAGTTGTCTACTAGCTTGAGGGACTAGCTGGAGCCTGGCGGTCCAACCACTCACAAAAGGGCAAAGCCCAGCCCCTCCCTTACCCAGGCCGGCAGCATCTACGGGAGCCAGACTCCTGTACTCCACATGCCATGTCTCCTGCCATCTTTCTGTGCCCTCTTTGGTCAGGGGCTCTCCTCTCCTTTGCCAGGCTGCTCATTTTTTATTCTATTCTTATTTTTAGAAACAAAGTCCCATTCTGTTGCCCTGGTGTCACTGTTTATAGCAAACTCAAACACTTGGCCTCAAGTGATCCTCTTCTCTCAGCCTCCCAAGTAGGTGGGACTATAGGCACCTGGCACCAACACTTGGCTAGTTTTTCTAATTTTAGTAGAGATGGGGTCTTGCTCTTGCTTAGGCTGGTCTCAAACTCCTGAGCTTAGGAGATGCACTCACTTCTGTATCCCAGAGTGCTAAGATTACAGGTGTGAGCCACAATGCCTGGCTAGGCTGCTTCCACATCCCAGAGTGCTAAGATTACAGGTGTGAGCCACAATGCCTGGCTAGGCTGCTTCCACATCCCAGAGTGCTAAGATTACAGGTGTGAGCCTCCACGCATGGCCAGGCTTCTCATTTTTAAACAGTGAGAATTTTTACCGTGTTTCCCCAAAAATAAGACACTGTCTTATATTTATTTTTTCTCAAGAAGACACACTAGGGCTTATTTTCAGGGGATGTCTTATTTTTAAGTATAATACAACAATCTACATTTATTCAAATACAGTTAAGTCATCTTCTTCGGGAACCTGACGGGGGAGCTGACTTTGTTGATGGGGCTGGCGCTAGTGATGCTTGAACTCCTTTCCCCTAGCCATTTGCACATGCGCAATAGGATGCCTGCCTGCAGTTACCACATGTGCACCCATGCAAGTGCAAACAGCTCAGAGAAAGGAGCTGTGGCAGATAAAAGGTATTCTAGTCTCCCTTATCGCTCCATGCCAAAACGCATGGCATGGCTATGCACATATACTGCATAGCCACACCCATCACTAGGTCTTATTATCGGGGTAGGGCTTATATTTAATAACAACTGCACAGAAATCCTGCTAGGGCTTATTTTGGGGGTAGGTCTTATTTTTGGGGAAACACAGTATACTCTGGTTTCTCTTCAAATCATATAAATCCTTTGCCATTGAAAGCGCATGAATTTTTGCCCCCAACCTGGGCTCCCAGGAGGTTGGGTCCTACAGGGCAGCAGCTATGCAGAGTGACAACAGTAACTCTCCAACTCCAGCAGGTCAAGGTCTCCTAGAAAGTTGGTAATGATAGAACCCCATGCTCTATCCACCTTTAGTACCCTGGGCCTCTGAGGTCTTCGTCAGCTTTCCAGGTAATTCTGGAGAACCACAGGGCCAGGGAAATATTTTTTTTTTTTTTTTGAGACAGAGCCTCAAGCTGTCCCCCTGGGTAGAGTGCTGTGGCATTACAGCTCACAGCAACCTCAAACTCCTGGGCTCAAGCGAGTCTCCTGCCTCCACCTCCCAAGTAGCTGGGACCACAGGCGCCCGCCACAACGCCCGGCTATTTTTTGGTTGCAGCCGTCATTGTTGTTTGGCGGGTCCGGGCTGGGGATTCGAACCCGCCACCTTAGGTGTACATGGCTGACGCCTTAGCCGGTTGAGCTATAGGCGCCGAGCCGGAAATATTTTTTTTTATAAGTGACAGTATATATAGTATAAAGCAGTAAAGGGTAAGCCTTCCACCTCTTTTCACCACAACCTGAGGCCCCTTCTGAAGGCAGCACCATTACTACTCATTTGTGTATCCTTCCTAGACACGCCAGGCAAATAATGGCATAGATTTTTTTTCTCCCACAATGGCAGTGTGTATGTACAACTGCCAGTTTCTCTCATGCAATGCTCTACCTTGGCAATTACTCAAACTCAGGCTATACAGAGTTTGTACAATTACCACAAACTGCAGGCTATACCTGCAGCCAACCCCCTGCTGATGGACACCAGAGTAGTTTCCAATCTTTGCTATCAGAGACAGTGCTGCTGTGGCAAGGAACCAAATACGCATATTCTATTTTTATTTTACTTTATTTTTCAGAGACAGAGACTTACTTTGCCACCCTCAGTAAAGTGCTGTGGTATCACTGCTCACAGCAACCTCCAGCTCTTGGGAATTCTCTTGCCTCAATCTCCTGAGTAGCTGGGACTACAGGTGCCCACCACAACCCTCGGCTATTTTTTTGTTGCAGTTTGGCCGAGGCCAGGTTCGAACCACCACCCTGGGTATATGAGGATGATGCCCTACTCACTAAGCCACAGGTGCCACCCGGCTATGGTATTTTAAATCGGTTACTTTGGCTGGATTGTTCATTCCTCTAAGACAGAAAAGACGGGAGGATCAGGGTTGAATCAGTGACCAGGAGAGCAGAGGGTGATGGTAACCTCTGAGCTAGCACCAAGGCTAAGAAAGTATGAGGTGGTCAGTTGCTGGGGTTCAAATCCCAGGCTGCCTCTTACTAGCTGGGTGGCCAGAGGCATGTTATACATACCTATAAGCCCTATGGGGCTTCAGGACCCCACTAGCAAATGGAGATAACAGCACCTGCCTCATCTGGTTACTAAGAGCAGTACATGGATGCTTTCAGCATGTGGTAAATGTTCAAAACTATCACGTTTAAAACTCCTATCGGCTCAGCGCCTATAGCTCAACTGGCTAAGGCGCCAGCCACGTACACCTAAGGTGGCGGGTTCGAATCCCCAGCCCGGACCCGCCAAACAACAAT